ATGTTAAAGCCGATATTGCTTTATTATTGTTATAGAAACTAGATTTATTAATCTGCTGGTTACCAGTGGTAAAGGGGGAAAAATATATATTAATATTACGTACCTTCGAATTTGGCGGCAAGATGACCCAAGCCACAACATTCCAGAAATTTTGTGCAGTCCTCTTCTTCGGTCATTATAAATAAAGCTTATAATATAATTTAATAATATAATATGTATTATAATACACATATATATAAGTACCCGTTTTAAAATCACTTATTCACTTATTAGGTAATTTTTAACCAAAAACTATCGATGCATCCATCAGCATGTATCACAGGCAAACGCCATAATAAACAATAAATAAGTATTTAAACTGCGAAAGTTAATTATTAACTCACGACTTAACACTTAAATATAGAATTTAACTATTAGAAAATGATTATTTTGTTATAATTCTTTCCATTGCTTCCTAATTAACTAACACCCCGGTGACTGGTAAAATACCTTTTAATTATGAGTATGTTACAGATTAGATAAAATACAATAAAGTAATTTAATACTGAGAGCAGTTTGTTTATATTAAAATAAAATCTTCAAACATAGGGTCATTTAATTTTAAAATTGTTCATTATTTTCTCCGAATTTAGCATCTATGAATATTAATACCTATGCTTGTAAACAAAAAATCGTGAGCTAAATATCAGTGAATTACCCAAAACTAATCAAGAGTTAACTATTAACAGCCTTTTTCTTTCAGTGAACAGATGTGACTGCTTTTCCGTTGGTGTTGTCGAACCTACCGAAATTTCGGTATTTCTACCTAAATGGAAACGGACCTACCAAAATACCGAATACTTAGATTTTCGTCAATAATTATGTTTCTACCGATTTTTTTACCGATTTTTGGCAATAATAACGATTTTACCCTTTTTGCCGATTTATCAATCGCACCCGAAGCTGCTTAAGTTATGTTTAAGGAGAATTCATTTTATTTATGTTTATTTGTTACTAACTTATTTCAAAATACATAAAAATTTAGACTTTGGTTCAACAAATGTAACACCCGAAAGACCGTTCCAGGTGAAACCAGAAGTGACAAAAATATATTAAATATGTCAAAAAGTTCTAAATTACACTTCATACAGTTTCATGACACTAGATAAAAAAAACAAATTTTTGCGATGGACCACGAATTTACAAGAAAATGGCATTTTCATTAAAAAATAATAATTCCAAAACAACAAATTTAGCCAACTCAGGACTTTTGGTGAAAGTTGTTCATATTATCAACTCTAAACAAAAAATATGAAGTTAAAAAAAAATGTGGCAATGTCAAAATTTTGACCTGCATTTTTTTTCCTTTTTTAAATAAATCAATTTAAAAAAAATGATTGGATTCACTTATTTTTTTTTGTATGTAAGAAACATTTACCTACAATTTAAAAAAAATTATAACGATCGAAACATTTTTGGCCAAGTTATCTCATATTCAAAAAAAATGTCACTCGTAAAAAGAAAAAAATCAATGTTTTTGTCCATTTTTAAAAACAAAAAAAAAAATTTAAGCAAAAAGAAAAAATACGGGTCTCATTGATTTCGGTAGAGAAACCATAACAAAAATTTTGTTGAAAAATAACGACCTGCACCTTTTTGCCTCATCGATTTAAGATAGAAAGGCCCTTAAATAAAATGTATTGCAAATTAAGTCAGCACAAAACATAGAACAACAGAAAAGTCGAAAAATTGCATGTCAGCCACCTTCCTCGGACGTTCAATGGACTGTTTTTATTTAAAGCATATTATTTTCAAAAAGTTTAAATTACAACTTTGCTCACGAGAAATAAAAAAATAGCATGTTATTGGACAAAAAAACTCACGCATAAAAACAAAGATTGTGGAAAACGCAGAAACAAAATTTGTCATAATTTTGCACTTTCGGCTTTATTATGAAGCGCAATGACGCAATTTGGTGTCCCGCTTCAGAAGCGGGACACCAAATTGCGTTAAAATTTCCGTTTTGGTATTTTTCCCAGCTTAGGTAACAATTCGGTAAATTAATTAATTAATTTTGAAACATATCATATTGTCCATATGGACATGTCAATAATGACAAGTTATTAAAAATTGAACTCAAATTATGGTGGAATTATGCAGCACAAATTAACATTAAGTTAACATTAACATTAAGAAGTTAAAATGAATGTAATACAACCCAAGTAACATTTTTAGTTTTATATTAGGTTTAGGAAGGTAACCATCACTAACTTATATAACTTAAGGTCATATTTAATAGTCAGGAGAAATTGTTTATGCCAATTATAAAAGCGTTATAGGCCTTAAATGGCCTAGTTTATAACTGTTTTCTTAGTAACTACAATGACCTAGAGTACGCTACTGATAGTAGAGAACACCTTAAAAAAAACCTTTATAAAACTAACCCAGTAACTACTATAAAACTTAAAGTAAGGTCTTAACTGGTTACCTTTACCTAAATAGAACCAGTACTAAAAGTTATATAATATTTCCGGTAACCTTTAAGGAACTGCAGTACATACTTTATATTTATTGTCTTTGTCAGCCTGCTTCTTTTTTAATATTCATAATCTATGTTTACTAAGCAAACACTTAACAGCGCAGCATCACTTCGGGTGGGGAAGATTATTATTTTAAAATGGCTACTCTCGCAATGCAGTGAAGTAAATGTTTGCTAAAACTTTCAGGTAGGTAGAAATTCACTTGCGAATTCTTTTGTACTGTGTAAAATTGTGTTTTACTCAAGGAAAACACGGCGGCCTCGGAATGCAAGCGTTTTTGGTAATTTTTTTATTAATAAAAACTATGAATATATATTACATTTTTATATAATCCAGTTAAAAATAAAGATTACTTAAATCTCTGGCTTGACAAGACCCAAACATGTGCATAGTTTAATATTTTTAAGCTTTACTCAATTTTTAAAGCATATTTTTGTAATAAATTTTCTAACCTAAAATTAAAAATCTATGGCCACCGCAGATCTAGGTAATAGTTATCACTACATGTTTTATAATTTACTCCACACCTTAAGTTATATAAAGGAAATTTTAGGGATATTTATTACTTCTTATCAGCAGTTATAAAACACGTAGTGGTCATCATTACCTATATAAATTCAGAGGTAACGACCATGACTATTGGTTATCTATGTGACTGTTATATAACCTAAGGTGTTGGCGCTTGCGCAGAAAATACTTATAAAACATAACCTCAGATTTTTGTCATTGAAGGTTTGCTACACAGAACATAAGGTTTGCTAAATAGATAATAGGTAATATTATCATAATATGTCCTACAAAATCGTGCAGACCGAGGAACCAGGGCGTGAAAAACCCTCATTGACAATTGTGCCTTGTGGTTGGGAGGTAAATAATGTTTTATTTTGGCCCAAAAATAAAAAAACACATCAAGAATTATAAAAGATCCAATTTCCATGCCAGAGGACGACTGGATAAAATACCGATGTATTACTCATTTTTTCAATATCTTTTAACACACCATGGATGAAAAAATCAAAATTCATCAAACTGGACTTAAAATTAAAACTATAATAATTATTATATAAAGGAAACTAAAAGTACTTGACGTTTTATAAAAACAACTTAAAGAAATCTTCGTAACCAGAAGTGTTAAGTTTTATATAACGGTTTCTAAAATCAATTAAAGTAACAAAATAGTGTGAATAATTTCCTTTATAAAACCCGGTGCAACAAGTTTTATAAACAAATTTACAAAACAGTTATATAACCTGTTTATAATACTTGAGGTGCTTGGAACTAAAGGTTTTGTAAGAAAGGTAATGAACAGTATTCCGCAACCATGTTATAAAACTTTTGGGGATAAGTAATCGATATGACCACTTTAAAACCTGAATCCCTGTGGGTAATTTGTTTTACTATTATAAACCTTTTATATAAAAGATGAGAACTTTAGGTAATTAAAAATGTTACTTGGGAATGAAAGCATTTATATTAAATTAATCTTAATCCTAATGTTAATGTTAATTTGTGCTGCATAAGTCTACCATTACATTGCTTAAGTTTGTCCGGGCATGAGTTTTAGTGTTTCGATCGTGGTAGAACTGTGTCCTATCCTACAGCATTATATTTAAATTCCGTTGCCAACTACTGGCAACCAAAATTCATATGGGTATAAATTCCATTTTTAGGCGATTTTTTTATTATTTTGTAACGTAACCCACACAGCACATATATCCATTGGACGTCCAGTGGACGGCCATTGTACATCCAAATGTACAATGTAAGTCCATTTGACGTCCAATGGACATCTTGTGATGTATGGGAATTGCATTGTCAGTTCATGAGGCTTTGTTATAGTGTATGTGAATAAATAAAAATCTATAACATCGCTTTTAAAAATTTCGCCAATAACAGTCGCAACGCTTGGCAACGTCGTATTCGCTGTCTCTTTCACCCTTACTCTTGCTGCATACGTTCTCACTCACACCTATGTAGCACTGGGCGAGAGCGTTCCTATCTGACGTCAGCTACTTTGCCATGAATCTTCAGTGCAAGCGTAAAATTTTGTGAATTAACCGATTTAATCCAATATAACTACCGACATCATTATTAAACTTCGAGTATCATGTTTTGAAATTACGCTCCACGATATACTCATTTTTCATTGCAATCCTATCTTTTCCAATAATTATTTCGGAGGTGAAAAGAGTAACAATAACTTTGAAATGTATTTACTCAGCTCCCAACGACAAGAATTTTTATTAAATTAAACAGGGTGATGTGAAGCATGATAAATAATTTAATTGTAAATTTTTATCAAATTCTGATCATTCGACACAACCTTAAAGCATGTTCATCATAAATTTTCATAATTTTCAACTAAATATAAAAAATTAACATTAAAAAATGTATGACAAAAGATATGGATCTTTTATACAACAAGCAACATATGGTAAATTAAATAATATAGATAATAAAAAATTAAATTATTATTTTAAGGTTTTACTGGACACGTTCCTTTTGGATATGCGTCCTTTGGTAAAAGCAATGAAGCGATGACAAATAGCGCGCTGTGCGATTTCACAGCGAATTACAGAAAGAGATTAAGCACGGAATGGTCGCCCGTTACAACGTCCAGGCCAGATCCGCCCCTGTTAATTTCGCCTACGGAGATTTATCATAGGCAACTAGGACAACTTCCTAATTATGGCGGACACATTCCAGGCGCAATATTCAGGTGAAAATTTTAATTTTGTAATGTAACAATAAGGCTTTTATATTTAGCAGCGCTTTACACCTTGTTTTATCAAGGAAATCAATAATAATTGAAAGAAAAAATATCAGAACTGCATTTATTAAAACAGCATTAGGTATTAAAATATATGAAATAAATATAAATAATAAACAAACTGCTATTAACTATGATTTCGCGAAAGAATCGAACGATCGATTTACAACACATCTCAGATTTTTTTTAAATTTTAATATTTTGTTTATACATCCAATTTAACACTAAATCTAAAATTTTTCTTTAATCTGACTTAAACTTTAGTTCCTAGAAACCATTTAATTTTGCCTTTCACAAAAAGGCCAAATTCCATTATTTTGGCATACATTTTTTATTAAAATACTGAATGATTTGAAATTTGGCCCATGTATGACCCATATTAGTACCTACAATTCTGTCAAAAAAAGTTTTAATTTTTTACATACAGGTGGCGCTGCAATTTTTTTTTCTTCGAAAGTAGACGTTTTTTGAAGACAAAAAATTCTCTTAAGCAACAATGCTCAAAAAAACTAAATAGCGTACCAGATAATATAGATATTCCTTTATAATTCGACATATAAAAATTTACTTGCAAATGATGTTGCCGCCAGTAAAGCCAACTTAAAGTTTGGTCTACCGCATTAAAAAAAATTGAATTACACTTTCAACTCTATCCTTATTTATAAACTAAGGAACTCCAGGTGATGGCTTTTATTGGTAACTAAAACGCAACAAAAAAAAGTTTTATTTTTTTATATACAGGGGGCGCTGCAGCCTTTTTTTCAAAAATAGAGACCATAAAGTTACTTAAGCAACATTGCTTAAAAAACTAATGACATTATTTATAATGTATCCGATAATATAGATATTCTTTTATTGTTTGACATATAAAAATTTATTTGCAATAATTAATGCCTGTTGTAGGGACGATTAAAATTATAACTAGTGCACGTACCCGCATGCGGGTATAACAATATGCACTAGTGCACGTACTATAGTAAGTGCACTAGTGCATATTGTTATATAAACGCCTTTTTTCGCTTTTATTGTTGTATGCGGACAAAAGGTAACAAAACCAAAGAAATTTTAATTACAAATGGTAACAAGTATTTTAGTGACTCTATAGTAATAGTAATATGACCATTTGTTTAAATATATTTTAGTATATTTCGAAAGGCAAAGCATTCTTTATTATCTTACTTTAAAATTAAACTAAAGTCAAGCCTATAGGCTGGAAATCAAGTTACCCCAACAGTTGATAGTTACTGTCAAACGGTAACCATAATAACATTTAAAATTTTGCCGTTATTACAAAAGTTGAAATTGGAGAGGGAAAATATCATGCTTTTAAAGGTACGCAAAGTTAATAAATTTTCTTTAAGTAAATCAAAATTCTAGGAATTGAATTTTCTTCTGGAGTAAACATGAAAGTTCCTTGGACATCATCGAGTCGACAAAAGGAAAATCTAAATAATTTAAAAGCAATTAAATATAGGTGCGACGAATTACTTTGCAGTAGGGTTTTTGAAAATAAAGACGATCTTCTAAACCACCTTAAATTTCAAAATCATAAATTTTCTGAAATTAGACAAACTATAGGTGATGTTGCTAGAATGGAATTTTTAAAACAAAAACTGCAACTAGTTCAACAATATCTACCGTTAATATATGCCCAAATGAAGAAGATAAAAATACGTTTTTTCGAGTTTATGCAAAAGGGTTCGGAAGGCGCAAAATTAAAAAATCACGTTTTAATGAAAAACAAAAAGATTTTGTTGGCAACCTTTTTGAAGAAGGTGAAAAAACTAAAATTAAATATACGCTTGAATATATAGCAACAGCTTTACAAAATTATGAAGTAAATGGCAAATTTTATTTTTCTTCAAACGAGTATATGCATCCTAATCAGATACGCGGCTTATTATCAAGATTATCGTCAGATAGAAGGTTAAGTAAAATAGAAAAAGAAAATTAAAAAATTTGCCGGAAGAAATTGAAGAAATTAGCCCAGAAGCGGATGAACTTTTTTTGAAGTTTTATCAGTTTTAAAGTAGTTCCTTTGCGGCCTAAGTAACTTTTAAGTTATAAATAACCCTGGTTAAAATCTCTAGACTGATTCTGAGAATCGCTCTAGAGATTTGAACCAGCCGGTATGATATAAACCAGGGTTATTTATAACTAAAAAGTTAGCGAATATACCCCTTAGAGCCGAACAAGTTTAAAATTTAAGGTAAAGGTAATAATAATAATTATTATAATAATTATTAGGATATATTTTTATTATTTAATATATGCAAATCTTGCAGATAAATTGTTATATGTTAAAATAATAGTAATATCAATAATAATAATAAAGAAAAACATAATAAATAAAATAAAGAACAAACCTATTAAATAAATAAAGGAATACGTAACTCTTTATAATAAAGGAATACATAACTATATTATCTGAAATGCTATATAGTTTTTAAAGAAAAAAGGCTGCAGCGCCCCCTGGGTGTGAAAAAATAAAACTTTTTTTTTGCTGTGTTATTGTTACCAATAAAAGTAATCTCCTGGAATTTCTTAGTTAATAAATAAGAATAAAGTTGTAAGTGTAATTCAATTTTTTTTAATGCGGTAAACAAAACTTTAAGTTGGCTTTACGGGCGACAACATCATTTGCAAGTAAATTTTTACATATCAAATTATAAAGGAATATGTATATTATCTGGTATACTATTTAGTTTTTTTGAGCATTGTTGCTTAAGAGAGTTTTTGGTCTTCAAAAAACGTCTATTTTTGAAGAAGAAAAAATTGCAGCGCCACCTATATGAAAAAAAATTAATTTTTTTTTTGGTAGAATTGTAGGTACTAATAAGGGTCATTTATGGACCACATCTCAAATCATTCAGTATTTTAATAAAAAAATTATGCTAATATAATGAAATTATGGCTTTTTGCGAAAGGTAAAATTAAATGGTCTCTGGGAGCCAAAGTTTAGGTCAGATTAAAGAAAAATTTTAGATTTAGGGTGGAATTAGATGTATAAACACAATATTAAAATATAAAAAAAATCTGAGATGTGTTATAAAAAAATACCCCAAAATCGTTCGATTCTTTCGCGAAATCATAGTTAAACAAGAAAAACATACAGGTCTTAATTTCACTCAATAGCAGAATACAATTGTGTATCTAATATTAGGAATCCCTTAGGGTACAGAAAAGTTTACCAATTCCGTACTTAAATGGGAGGGTGTAAAAATAAATAAATATAAAAAAGTATAAGGTTGAAATTGCGATGATTGTTTTGACATATTTTTTAGATTTGGTAAAACATATGGCAACGATTCCAGAGATGCAAAACGTTGGTTACGAGGAGATTTCAGCACATAAATTCATGTTTAAAATAAATAAATTTCCGTAGTTTTCTTTATTTATTAACCTGAATAAAAATATATAATTTCAAAGGACTTACATATCTTGGTACCTATATAATGTAAAATAATAAACACAGTTCATAATTTACTTTCCTACCCATTTGTGAAGAATATCAGAGGCCTTTTGTAAATTTTCATCTTGCTACAATTTAAAAGTATGTTTTATTTACTTTTTATGATTACATTCTTTAAATATTTACCTTAATAAACCAGGAAGCAACCTAATTATTAATGATCTTAAAAATCACCAGCGTACTTTTTTTCGTAAAAATATTCTAGCCGTTACCAGAAAACGGTTTATTTATTTATTTATTTATTTATTTATTTATTTAGTAAATATTCTACAGGCTCAACGCCCAATTACAGAATATATGTAGGTAATGCAAAAATTACAAATAGATATCTAATATACTTATTTAAAATAACAGTATTTCTGCAAAACAAAAATCTTTAACAGTTTAAAAGAAAACGTTTTAAAACATCGACTTTGCATGAAAAAATATCTATATGACCTTCGATTTTATTGTAATTTGCCATAATTTGTTGAAATGGTGATTGAACCAGAATATTTGTTTGTGGGGTTGGGATAGAAAATGTGGTTTTATGTCTTGATCTTAGGCGTGGTATATGAAAATTTAACATACAAGTGTAATATTCTGTGAAGAAATAATATCTGCGAGTTTAATCTTCGTTGTGCTAGACTATTATATGTGAACTCCATGAGAAGTAGCTTATGATCGTATCCTTGAATAGGATAAACTTGGTGACTTTTAAAAAACAATGTTTTCAAAAATTTTCTCTGAACTGATTCCAAGCTATTTATATGTACATTGTATATAGGTGACCAAATTACCGAAGCATACTAAAGTTTAGTTCTCACAAGTGTATTATACAGTGCACTAAGTGTAGAAGAAGATGAAAAGTCCTTACAGTTTCGTGTCACAAACCCAAGTATTTTATATGCAGACAATGATATATTGGTTATATGAGGTACAAAACTAAGCTCTGAATCAAATGTAACCCCAAGATCTGTAAAATTATCAAGTTTTTGCAGTTTGTTATCTCCCAACTGATAGTCGAATTGAATGTATTTTAATATACGTGTATATGTCAAGGTATTACATTTGCTTACATTTAAATTTAATTTATTTCGTGCGCACCATTCATATATGCTTTCAAGATTTTTTTGTAGGATTTTACAGTCATTAACAGAAGTAATGGGGTGTAACAGTTTTAAATCGTCTGCATATAACAGAAATTTTACATCCAAACTGTTGCCAATGTCGTTAATAAAGATATCAAACAACATGGGTCCCATTATAGATCCCTGAGGGACACCAGAAGATTGTTCTGTCAATTTGGACTTGTAACCACGTACTTCTATATATTGCTGACGATTTTCCAGATATGATTTGAACAAGTTAATAAGTTTGGGACTAAAACCAAACTGTTTCAATTTGTAAATTACTAGGGTGTGATCCAAAGTATCAAATGCCTTACTAAAATCTGTATAAATGACATCCACTTGCCCTCTTGAGTCAAGAACTTCTGAAATTATTTGTGTTTTCACTAGCAAGTTAGTGACAGTAGATCTGCCAGCAATAAACCCATGTTGTTCAGGTATTATATAGTTATATACATAAGCAGAAAGATGATTATGTAATACTGTTTCAAATATTTTGCTGAAGTTGCATATTATTGTAATGTAATATTATGTAATGTAAAATTTCATGTTTATCCCCCTTCTTAAATACCAGAACTACTTTGGATATTTTCCAAAGATCTGGATAACAACTGGTTTTAACAATACAATTAAAAATTATACACAATGGAATTTGAAAAACAGTGCTACAGTCACGAATAAGAAATCCAGGAATCAAATTAGGAAATTAGGAAAAAAAATCGTATAAAACGGCCCAGTGGTGGAGATTTTGGAGGGATTTCCCTTTTTACCCTCATATTTTCGACGCCACTGGATTTTATTAGAAAATCATCAGATTTATTTTTATCCCTTTTCAATGTAAAAGCAAAACTTTTATGTTAATTTTTTATCAGATTAGTGGTTTCGGAGATATTTCAGTTTAAAATTTCAAAAACACTGTGTACACGGAACTTTTGTTATTATTTTACTAATAAAAAATGATTTTTTTTTCTGAACGATTGTATTGGGCCAATAAAAATTTACCAATGGAATAATGGAATAATCGCTTTTAATAGGGTGGTTTTTGTTTTGTTTTTATTATAATAAAATTAAATTATTAATTACAAACGTTGATTGTAATTCTCAATCAACGTTACAATAAAACAACCTAAAAATATGACGGGATGACTCCTAGACGCTAGTATATTTTTATAATATTTTATCTTGAATCGGTAACTTGGTAACAAATTATAACAGTAACAGTAGCTTGTAACAAATTATAACAGATTTTCAAAATGCATTCCCCCAGCATCCAAAGTTTGTTGTTGAAAGCACTTCTGTCGTATTGCTTTTGGGTTATCCTGCGCCCAAACATGGAGATTGTGAAACAAAGTTAGGCTCTTCTTCTGCTGATTCCAGGACCCACCTACAAAATGCCATCCTTCTCTCTGCATCTCAAGGAAGAAGATTTTGAACCGGGCGGTAATGATAAGGTTTCTGGTGGTCGTCATGAAGAACTCTTAGAATATTTGACTTTGAGGTATTTAGTCTTAAAGCAGCTTTCCGGGAGCTCAACCCTGGATCATTTTAAAAAGTTCCCAGTATCCTATTTCTATTCCGTCGTCTTAATCTTGGTTCACGTACATTTTGTTCATTATTATTTCGTAGTCCAAAGTCTCGAAACCTCTGGTGAGAGTCGATGAAAACTTGGACGTTGGGTATTCTTTTGTCGGGAAAACGTCTTTGGTACTCCCTAACTGCCGCTAGCGCATTTCCATCACATAGTCCATACACATAATGAATATCTGCATATTCAATGTTGCTAAACTGATAACGTGGCATAATTGTTACCAAGTTACCGATTTAAAATAAAATATTATGATAAAATTTCGTGTACTCGGTGATTTTGAAATTTTAAAGACAAATATCTCCGAAACCACTGATCTTATGAAAATTTAACACGCAAGTTTTGCTTCTAAATTGAATAAGGAATCTGATGATTTTCCAATGAAATCCAGTGGTGTCGAAATATGGGGTAAAAAGGGGAAACCCCCACAAAATCTCCGCCGCTGGGCCTTTTGTAAAAAAAATTACCTACACAAAATTTGAGCAGAATCGGTTTGAAGGGCTATTAGTGTGTTAGTGTGTATTTTTGAAACATGTTTTTGGGTTTGTTTTTATTGTTTTTTCAGGCTCTATCGATTATTAAAATTTTTCAGATTAATCCTGGACCACCCTGTATATTTAATATGTTGTTTTATTAGTCCATGATATGGATTCCCTGTATTTCCTTCTGTCCATGTGAATGATAGGCAGGTTGTGGTTAAAAGAGAAAGTTTTATTAAAATATTTCCTATTTATACATAATTCTAATGTAACGTAGCAAATAGATAATTTAAACAATGTGCATATATGCAGTTTTAACGGCGATGACCGATTAATTGGGTATACCCAATTAATCGGTCATCGCCGTTAAAACTGCATATATGGTCAAAAACGTGGACTGTTACGTTACATTGGACCCCATTTTTTTACTTGAAATTTTCGGAAACATGGAGAATTCGATATTTTGAATATTTTATATGTATGTCACTAAAAGAATGCCTTTCAAGCAACATTTTTCATAATGATACAAATTTTCGTATCTCTCGTTATTTCGGAGTGATAAACATCCAAACAGGTACTGTTGCGTTACATAATTTTGGCAGTGGGTTTTGAAGTTACTGTACAAAAAGTCTGCTCTTGCTTCAGAGTATTTACAGCGTCTACTGCATAATTTTCAAGCTTTCTAATGAAATTGATGAATTTTTATATGCAAATAAGAAAAAAAAATTGTTTTTGTTTTTTTAAAAGCAAAAATGTTTGGACTGTTACGTTACACAAAAAGACTGTTACGTTACCTGTGTGATCGCCTTTGACACAAAAAGTAAACTTGAGCAACAAAAAGGTTTTAATCGTTTAATTTTTATATTAATAACATTGATTTACTTATGCGTATATAAGTAGTTAGATATGGAATCATTTTTCAATTATTCGGTGCACTCATGAACATTTGTTAAAACTGACATACAAAGTTAAAATAAGATATAATTATGAATCGTATCCTTGTTTTGAAGTGTGGAAAGTGACAACTTTTCCATTAATCACTTGAATCTGATGAGCCGATGCTATGTCACGGATATTTTTTGCACTGTCGAAAATAGCAGGTGCGTTCAAAATATCATTTATATCAAGAAAATCATTCTCAGTTACTTCTTCGATAGCGATTTTAGATTCAGTGAGATTAAATGCAGTAACAAAATCCGAAGCACAATTTACAATGCATTTGCGAGACAAAATTTGCTTTTTTCACTATCATCGTAGCAGTTGCACCAATACCATCGATTCAACCTTTTCCGTGAGAAGTTGCAAAGTAGTTCCAGTAGATTTTTATACCGAATTTGTCTTCTAAAACAGGAATGACTGCAGCAATGAATTTATTCTTGAATTGGGAAGATGGCCCGTCGCTCCAAATTTTTCAATAATTTCACTGATTCGGGCACTCCTGAGAGTAGTATGTACATGTAAGGAACGATGGTTTCTTTCGTGTGTGCTAAATTGTTCGACACGAAAACCTTTTTCATTAAAATGAAAGGAAGTAGTAAATACAGTGAGCTGTTTTTGATTCCAATGTGCACTTTGTACGCACTCTGATATGTGACAGACAAAATTTTCACTAGTAATACCACTAGAGGTCAAAAAATTTCCGGATTTAATTTGACCTCGTGTGGTATTCGGTAAGAAAATTCCACACCAAATTGTGTTTAAATAATTAAAATTTATTTT